TCTAAAATGGCGACTGTAACTAAAAAAAAAGGAAAGTTGACAGCGAGGGCCGCTGCTTCCAGGACAAGGGGAAATTGTAGTATTTTTTCACTGAAATACGAAACAACTGTGTCTGCCTAATTTGCCAAGAGACTGTGGCTGTTTTCAAGGAATTCAATATCAAGAGGCACTACCAGACGAAACATGCTAATTACAACAAGCTAACTGGGAACGAACACGGCGAAAAACTGAAGGAACTTTTAACAGCACAGCAGCGCTTTTTCACAAGAGCCTGTGAGTCAAATCAAAATGCCACAAAGGCAAGCTACGAGGTGGCAACGCTGATTGCCAAGCACTGCAAACCTTTTACTGAGGGTGAATGTATTAAAGACTGCGTGATGAAAATGGTGGAGAAAATTTGTCCTGAGAAGAAGCAAGAGTTTGCCAATGTTTGCCCGGCTCGTAACACTGTGGTACGGATAACTGAAGACGTTTCATCTGATATTAAGAGACAGTTAGAGGCAAAAGGAGTGGAGTTTGACTTTTTTTCGTTAGCCTGCGACGAAAGCACAGATGCATCTGACACCGCTCAGTTATTGATTTTTTTGAGAGGAGTGGACAATGACATGAACGTGAGCGAAGAGCTACTTGACCTCCAGAGCCTTAAGAACCAAACAAGAGGAACAGATTTATTTGTTTCTGTTTGTTCCGCCATAGATGACATGAAACTACCGTGGAATAAAGTCACTGGGATTATTATGGATGGCGCACCTGCCATGGCTGGCGAGCGAAGTGCATTATCAATCCTAGTCTGTAACAAAGTCAGCGAAGAAGGAGGCAAAGCTATAAAACTCCACTGTATTATTCACCAACAAGTTCTCTGTGCCAAACATCTGAAATATTATCATGTTATGAAACTGGTGATGAAGGCTATTAATTATATTCGCTCCAAAGCCCTGTGCCACCGCCAGTTTCAACAGTTTCTACTCGACATCCAGGCTGAATACGGAGATGTTGTGTATCACAACGAGGTAAGATGGCTCAGTCGGGGGTCTGCACTGCAGCGCTTCTACTCTCTTAGGGAGGAAATTGGACAATTCTTGGCAAAAAAGGGACAACTGATGCCAGAGCGATCTGATCCTGTTTGGCTGGCTGATTTTGGATTTTTAGTTGACATGACATCTGAACGTGCTGAACACGAGCCTTCAGGGGCAAAATGCAGTGGTAAGCCAACTGTATTCACATATCAAAGCCTTTGGGACCAAGCTGCTACTTTTCCAAAGGCACCTGTCACAAGCGCAGCTCAGTACCACACATTTCCCATCGCTGCAGGAAATAATGATGAGTTTTCCACAGAACAATATGAGTGCGCAGATAAGGAGGCATGAAGCAGACATCTCATCTCTGGCTGAGGAGTTTCAACAGCGCTTTCGGGATTTTGCAGCTATTGAAAAGGAGATCACTCTTTTTTCATCTCCTTTCTCTGTGGACCCTGATGATGCTCCAGACCACCTGCAGCTGGAGCTCATTGAGCTGCAGTGTGACGCCGAGTGTCACAGTCGGCACCAACAGCTCCCTCTTGTCAACTTTTATTGCCAGCTGGATAAAGACAGGTTCCAAGAGATTCGAACATTTGCTAAGAAAATGCTGAGCTTGTTTGGTTCGACATACTTGTGCGAGAAGACATTCTCAGTTATGAACATTAACAAGAACCGTGTGAGGACGAGACTAAGTGACTTTCACCTGTGTGACATCTTGCGCATCAAAACCACTGTTTTTGAGCCAGACCTGGCCTATATAATGCAGTCGAGATCTCAGTATCATCCTTCACATTAGTGCAGTTATTTGTTTAGTCTTTCATACAATAGTTCATTTGCATTTAATGTTAATGGTTCAAAGAATGTCAGGCTGAATGGTCGGCCCCCACACATTTTCACCTCACCAAATCTGGCCCTCCTTGCAAAAAGTTTGGACACCCCTGGTTTAGAGTATATTATAAATCCTAAACAAAATAAATTGGCTATACCACGACTGAGTATAAAATGACATGGTTAAAAATAAATAAATAAATATACAATTAAAATTGATAAGCATTAAAACATTGGTCAAATAAAAAGGTCTTGATCTGGCACCAAAAAGCATATAATGACAGCGCCAGGCAGACCTCTCTGGGGACTGCATTCCATAGTCGGAGCGCTACTGCAGAGAAAGCTCTCCTTTGAGTACTCTGTCTCCTGACCTCTTTCAAAGAGGGTTCCCGGAGGAGGGCCTCTGCTGCCAGTCTTAGGGGGCGGGAGGGCATATAGGGAAAAAAATGTACCCTTGAATGATTTACAGACCAGCATTTTCACACAGCAATCTCCCTTTGAAGTTCCTTTGTTCAAGGATGGCCTTTTTAAGGTTTGTGGCACAATATTTTAGAAATCTGAAATGATTCCCTACTTTTTTGTTTTTTGTTTTTGTTTTTGTTTTAATACTGCCTTTTCTGATGTCAGATTTCAGTCCATTTATTCTCTTGCATAGAAGGTGGCCTATTTGTCCTACATAGAATAGAGCAAGGTATTGCTGACAAATGATGGCATACATCAATCAGAGAATGAGCAGAATGAAAACCTAATGTCCTGGATGGCATTACTGAGTCCTTTATGGGTGCAATCCTAAGTATGTTTAGACAGACTTTTTCTGCCTAAGCATGCATACAATTGCAACCTAGCAGTGTTGTCACAGTAGGCGTGGGGAGAGAAACAGTATCTGCCATTTGCTGCATATCTGGCCCCTATGTCTGTGTCCCTGTTATGCGGCCTGCTGTTGTTAATAAATAGCTGATTTAGCTTGAGTGGTTATCAACGAGTAAATACAAACCTACCTCCCAAGCCCTGTTAGAGGGAAGTGGAGTTCATTGGTGATATATTTGACTAGTTTTAGCAGGGAACTATAGCCTACAGCAAGCAACTTCTGTTGTTTGTTCTATTATGCATAGATTATTCCAGTCTGGTTTTGTTGATCTGTTTGTTTCATTCTGATGTGTGGGCATTGTAATTTGAGAAATGTTTGTTGTGAACTTTAATTATTTAAAAACTCAGAAGGAAATGTTTTAATTTCACAGGATGTCTTGTAACTGATTTAAAGTAGCCATCCTTGTACAAACTTCAAAAGAAGGTTGCAGCATCAAACCACCAAACTGCACACCATTAAGAAATACTTGTGCATTAAATTGGACAGAAGCTTCTGGTCACACTGCATGTTTTAAGATGCAACCCTATGGAAGATTGGACAGAAAGAAGTCCAGCAACTCCCAGCATTCTCCAGTGGCTGGAAAATGATGGGAATGGTTTAGACAGAATAAAGTCCTACATACACCGGATTATGTCCTTAATTAGTTTATATACAAGATTAAGCTTGTGCTATCACAAACAAATGTTTTGTAAATGGTCTTTGTTATCAATCAAAGGCTTGAGGACCAGCCTTCCCCAAGAGGTTTTGGACTACAACTTCCAAGATGGGTGGATGAAGGAATTGTTTCCATCAGTCTGAGGAAGGCTGTTCTGTGCTTTCTGTATTTAACTTCCCACTGATCTAACTATATTCCCACCACCACTACACAGAGTCCTAAGTATGTATATTCAGTGCTTTTTTTGTAAGAAAAACGGTGCCGGAACTCATGAAATTATTTACCTTTCACACACAGTCAATCACTGTACACACACCCACACACGTCAGTTGTGTAATGAAACATAATGGTCACCCCTCACAGTAAGCACTCAGCACGCGACCACATGACCCACCACAAGCTGAGCAGCACCATCACAACCAGAGCAGACAAAGTACGCATGCATCGGATTTGACACACAAGCAGCCCGCATGCACCATTTTAATGATTTTGCAGCCAACCTGCTATGCTCAACAGGGCGATTCGAATCCACGTGGACCAAACATCAAATTTTCAAAAGTTACTTTTAAAACTTGGAAAATCTGTCAAAAAAACGGTGCCGGAACTCTGTTCTGGTGCGTTCTATGACAAAAAAAGCACTGGGTATACCTGTAACTCAGACAACTGTGTATAGTTGTAACTTCATGCATCTGAAGAAGAGAACTGTAATCCACAAAAGCTAATGCCATAAAATATTTGTAAGTCTTTAAAGACCCTTTGTTGGTTTTGCTGCAAAAGACTTAATATGAAAACTCCTCTATATCATTGTATTATTAATATATATTGAAGTGCTCTGCTAAACATCCATTCTCCCCATTTTGAGTATTACAAGTCACTTTGAGGCCTGAGGAGAATAATAACTAAGATATGTAAAATATCAAGAACATTAAAATCTGAATCATAATTCATAAGCCCTAAATTTAATTTGGGTGGTTCGTGGAAGAGTGGCTGTAAAGTTTAGAATGCCAAACAGTATTCTCTCCAAAAAGGATGTACTGGTACTTGAGGAGTATAGATAATTCTGTCTTTACATTCTGTAGGCACTAATTACATTGGCTCCTGTGAAAAGCTGGCAGGTTGCAATCCTGTATACACTTTGCAGTAAATATAAATACAACTGCATTGTAATGTGATTCTTTTTGTACTTAGGGAAAGTACCCCAAAGTCTGTATAGGACTAGGCTATTATTTGTACTAAGCAGTTGATTTGTAACCTGCCCAGAGAGCCTTATGGATCATGGGGTGGGATAAAAGTCCAATAAATAAAATAAATGATAGTTTTCTCCATGTGACAGTAATTAGACCAATCAATGAACCCTTAAGGAAACTAACGTCTCGCTATGTGTGTTTGCACAGTTGTACTCAGATGCAATTCCTATTAAGCCTCAGTGCAATCTCAGCATAACGTTATTTAGCAGAAACCTACCAGGTCGCCTGCTTCTTGTACTGTATTGAGCTCCTAAGATTGAGCTTTGCTTTTATGAGACTTTGGGCTTCTACTCCATATTCTAAACAGGAATTGTCTTCTTACCCCTTTGTGAAAACCTTCATTTCTCTTAAACTATTCTCATAAGAGTGAATCGTTTAGTTACCTGCTAAATACGACAATGCTGGTTTTCCTACCATTTGAGCTTCTTCTCAAGCTTTGATTTGCTTCTCAAGCTTGGAATTGATCCATCTTCTTTCGAATTACAGTATTAATATACTTCAAGTTTCCTAACTCCCGTCTTAGTTTCAAAATTAGTTTTGATGACATGGGAAGCCATAACGGCATGCCCTAATCATTGCTGTGCAGATATTGAAGTTTGCGCTTAACGTCTCGATAGAATCCCCCTCCAGCTCTCCCCCGCTTTCCCCGCGATGAAGGCCCTTAGACAAGCGGTGGAGCATACAGAGGACTGGTGCGAAGCGCGGAGACTACAATACCCGCAGTGCTTTGCGGCTTGGCGGCTATTGAAGCTGGGACGTACCCGCCCAAACTACATTTCCCTAGTGTCTAAGCGCACATCGTCTCTCCTTGATGTGCGTGTGTGTCGATAAACGCGTGGGGGGGGTGACGACGGCGCTCTAGCGCGGTGACGAGCAAAGTGTGTGCCCGCCATAGTGATAGCAGCCGCCGGGCCGTGGTGCGTGGGGCCGGGAAGAGGCCGAGGGGACGGCAGGAGAAGCGGCGGTGGGGCAGGCATCGCACAGGTATGGCGTGGGCTCGGCAAGGGGAAAGCGCAGGCCGGCCAGTCAAGGCCGGTGACAAGCGTAGGCCGCCGGGCACTCTTGCCCAGCCCGCCTGGCGGACGGCTCGGAAGCTGCTTCCGACCCGAGCAAACCTCCCATGTGTTTCTCAGCCCCCTCAGCAGTCGCCAGGCGAGGACAGGGGGGAGGGAGGAGGAGGAGGCGGGAGACGAGACCGGGGACCTGGCCCTTCTCGGCGCCGGGAGCGGAGCTTGAGAGGACGTTCCTTATGTGGTTGCTTCTTTCTCCCGCTTCACAACACTGCTGCTCGGTAGAAAAAAGCGAACCAAGTGAGAGGTACTGAGCGTGAAATAAATATTAGCTGTAAGCTGTGGTTACGATTCTGTGCACGTTTACTCGTGAGTAAGTCCTACTGACTACAGGGAACTTAGCATTGATCGTGCACTGGCTTGCGCTGCGAGTCGACCAATTCGCGGTTTCCCCTCTTTCCCTCCCCGCGCAGAGTAGCGGGTCCCTCTGAGCCCACCCCCCTCCCGCGTCCCAAGTGCCAGAGTCGGGCAAGTGTTATGGGGGTAGGTCAAAGGCCATCACGCTTTGGAAAGCAGATAATACGTTCTTCGTCTTCACTCGATGGCTTTGCTTAGAGTAGCTCTCTGCTTTATCTCTCTCCCTCGACATTTTCTCTTCTCTTCTTTTTCGCCTCCAGCTGTCATCTTTCAAAGTGGGAGAAGGGTGGTGGTACCATGGCAGGTTTTCTGTAAACTCTCCAGGGAGATGTTGTTTTGTTGGAGCTTAGTCTCTTTCTCCATGTGCCTACCATTTTCTTTTTGTACCATTAGTGGTAGAGCTTAGTCTGAGCCAGGATGTAGCCCAAGAAACTGTTTTTAGTAAATGAATCCAGCCATGAAAGTGAAAATGAACTAAGAGGTAATGTCTCTGTGCATGTGCAGAATTCTTTCCCCTTGCTGATGAAGAGCTTCTGCTAGCCCTTCCCCTCCTTGTGAATTGAAGTGGGAGGGAGCAGGACTGTAAAGCTAGCTTAAATCTACCATTCTAATTTTAGAAATTAGCTCCTTATAGCTAATAATGCCAGGAAGAGGCTATCTGCCCCAGACTTGCCCTTTTTCTGCTGTTTTTGGCATATGTGGTGCATCTCCCTTGGTGTATAGGTACATATCATTGATATGCCTGCCATTATCATGAGATGTGTCTGTATGGCGGGAGGGCTTCTATACTGTAGGAAGCTTTGAAAAGATTGAGTGGAGAGATACATTGCAGTCTTCTGCATTTGGGTCACTTGCTAGAGGTCAGATCATCTGTTGCCAAGTTAAGTAGGCAGGGTTTGTTCTCTTTGCAGTGTTGTACTCATAGCATGATTGTATACTTATTCCACAATAGTGAATGGCAGCCATTAATTTATACTGGCGAAGGTAAAAAGATGTGATTGGGGATCCCATTTGTGCATAGGCTATGTGTGTTTGTGTGGCTAAATCTGCCATTTTTCTCCTGCCTCTGATAACCCTAGTACCTAGGACATGAGCTGTTCTGCTTAATTACATTTTCAGATACTTTATGCTTTCTCTCATAGAACTCAGTGGTAATTACTGGGAACTGATGCAACCACCTCTGTCTGCATAGCTTTACCTACACACCTGTCAGTTTGTGATATGGAAGATTGTATCAAAAATGTCATCCTTGCATATCGTGCCTGGGTCACAAATTGTTAAGGGAAATGAACAGATTTTTCTTTCACACAGTTTTATACTGTTTGGGGCTTCACATGTTTCCAAACACATGAATGAAAGCTATTTAGATACATATGGAAGATAAATTGTGGGGTGTTTCATGATGCAGCCATCTGTTAGGCGTGCTTTAACTTTGAGTGCTTTAACTTTGAGCATGGTGTTGGCTCAAAGGCCTTATTGTTCCAACTCTATTACTCTATAAAGAATTCATTATTTAAAAATACAAATAATAGCTGTTGAAGTGGGGAATGAACTGTACTGGGGCTTGGTTAGTTTGGCCCCCTTCATTCTTTTCCCTGCTAAACTTGCCCTATATTTGCTGATCAATGGAAAGCATACAGGTTATAGCTTTCCCCTCCTATAGGAAAATAGTAGCTCTGTGTACAATTTTAATTGAGGAACTAGTGTTGGGGATGGAAGGATTTCATTATTTCCCAGTTTGGCACCCTCCAGATGTTTTTAACTTTGGCTCAGTCCCAGTCAGTATGGTCGATGCAAACAAATATTGAGAGGTGTATCCAAAGTTCTGGAGGCCACCTGGTTGAGCAAAACTGGGTTAGATCACAAGTGGGGAACCAATGGTTTGTTAGCCGGAATTAGTTGCAGAGCCTTTCTGCCCAACCCTCAGTCTTTCTCTTGTTGGCCACAAGCCTCTCTTTTTTCTTTCCTTCTCCTATCTGAAGAGTCTCCACCTGAAGTCATTGGGATAGTGGGAAAGACAGATAAAGCAAAAAGGGGCCTACAGAAGGCTCAGGCAAGATATTGGAGATCCAACGGAAGAGTGTGGTGATGAGACTATTTAGGGTTCACTTGCTGCAGTGCTCTGTGATTGGGCCTCTGACCTCATCCACAAGCCTGCCACCTTCTTTCCTTTTCTTCATCTTTCTGTCTACTTACTGGCTTGCAGTGAGGAGAACAAAAGATAGAACTGCAGGCAAGTGCATCACAAGTGGCTGTTCTGAAATTCCTTTGCCCTGTGATTCTAGAACTGCCTTGTCCTGCTTGGCCCACTGGGAGTTTTTCTTAGAACTTAACTGAGGGAATACATGAAGCAAGGGCAAGTCTAAATGTGGGATGTGTGAATGGATGGATGTGTGACCCTAGGGAGAGAAGAGTTGCAGAAGAGGAGAGAGAGAAGGGGTGGACCTTGACTGAATGTGTTTTTTTCCACTATTGGAATGAGGCTCCAGACAACTTCCCTCTGAAGAGGTGTGGCTTACAACTGTAAAAAGTTTTCTCCCCATGGGTTAACATTTTTCCCTCAAAGCAGAGGCCCCAATCTGACACTTGCATTTATTTATTTATTTATTTATTTATTTATTTATTTATTTATTTAAGTATTTATTTATTTTCTTAAACAGGCAATCACAAATCTCCAGTGCCATGTCTATTTTGGCTCTCAGTGGGAATTTTGGAAACTCAGGATGCCCTGGGTTAACTTTCTTGGTAACAGTAGACACAATGTTGGAACAGTGGGATGTATCCCACCCTGATGTATTGCATTTCTGGCATACAGAAGGCTTGATGTTTAGTTAGGTGCTCTTGCACTAACCTTGTTAAATTGACTATTGTTATTAAGATTTTATAAATCTGGATGTGAGGTTGAGTGATAATGATATGAAAATAAACTGTAATGAATTTGTGACTGGCTTATGGTTTCACAGGCCATTCCTTGGGTTGTTACTGGGCCAGTATGTAGAATTTTTCTTAGATAAAGTCATTCGATGTATCTATTTATATAAGTACACTCCTTTAATTCTTTTCCATGACTTTATACTTCTTATAGATGACCAATACTTCTTATAGAGAGGAAATAGTCTTGAGACACCTTAGACACTAATGGCTTTATGAAGTCATAAATGTTCATGGATTAACCCACTTCACCAGATGCATAAAGTGTTATCCTGAGTTACAAAATAAATATACATATATGCAGTTTGAGGTATAGGGAATTGTTAATGTTGTGAGAGATGTATGAAATACAGAATGTACAGACAATGGTAATTGTATTATTAAAACTCAAAGGATATCCATTGCCTATGTAGTACTTTGAACAAGATATTGTCTTGGAAGAGTACAGTTTGGCAGTTTAATCTCAGAGATGAGTGCATATATGTAGGTAGATTTTGCTGTGTATGCTGCGCTTGAACATGTGTTTAACTAGATTTTTGTCAAAGTTCCTTTGCTACTCTGCTCCCACATGTGGTCGCCTACCCAGCTGCAGGCTGGTGCCTTTCCAGCTTTGCAAAGGTGATTCATCATGCTAGCTCAATGGATAGCTATGCAGGCAGGCATTTTCTGATACCTGATACTGTAATAACTTAAAACAGTGTAATCAAATAAACTGTTTGGATTATGGGTGAATAATGTAGCCATTAGACCTGCTTTTCAAAAATTAGAAATAAAGCATGGTTCTCCTTGTTTTTGGAAAGCAAGTCAATGACTCTATCACTTAGCCTAGCAAGTTAGGGAGGATGAATTGTCACTTTGATAAACATCTTTGCAAAACTCAAAATAACAGATTGGTTATGGTTTATATGGCTCATGCTGTTGGTTACCCTCTCCTAAGCATATTTTTCTTCCCTTTTCGTTCCCCCCAGCATAAACCAACTGGAAAGCTCCCCCTCTTTCTCTGAATCATTTTTTAAAAAATTGTATGTTAAAGTTCTGAAGAGAAGTGATATGCTGACTTGGTTGAAATTTTAGGCTTTCCTTCTTTTTGGATGTTCGGTGATCAAATCTTACAAATACTTTGTGTGTGTGTCTTTCTCTAGGTGATTTATTATGTATTTGTGAGCTTTGGGTTGTATATTGTTGTTACTTTATTCTGTCTTTTTTCCTGCAGACATGCCAGCTTATTCACAACCATCTTCTGCTTTTCCACTTAGAATAGTATGACTGGTGAATTGGAAAAAAAAAGATCTCACTATGTGAGAATGGGAAGAGCTCCAAAAAGTAAAAAATTGCTTTTCTTTGTATAGTGTGTTAGTACATAGAAAGCTATATATTTTATGTTTGTGAGGAATACTACTGGACTCAAGGCTCACTTAAGATAGGATGGGAGAATTGAAAAGCTCTGGAGTTTTCCTACAGCCATAGGAAAATATTATTATTTTTCAGTTTATTCACCTTGCCCTGTTGTTACTATCAGGAGCATGTTTAGCTGGCAAGTCAGATCAATAGGGAAAGCACTTGGCAGTAATGATTACTTGAACCCTTTAAATACACAAAAGCATGAATGCTTGTTAAATATGAAAA